AAGGAAGGAAGGAAGGAAGGAAGGAAGGAAGGAAGGAAGGAAGGAAGGAAGGAAGGAAAAGAAGAGAGACACCATCTCTCTTAACTCTGAATGAGTCAATAGGCACATGCTTAGATTCTGAGTGAATGAGAAAGAACTTGGCTCCAAACATCTCTGAGATAACATCTGCCTAAAATTCAGTAGCAGGAGTAATATTTTTCATGGGTTTGAACAGTCACCCATCAAAGTGGATTTAGTTGGTCTTGATTTGTGGTGCACTTTGGCTATGTTGGTCAAGTTAGCAAAGGATCTGTTGTGATGGGTGATTGCTTTCCTTTGAATGCAGACAAGTAAATGAAATGTTTTTTTTCTTTCTTTGTTTCAGTTGACCAAACCCCTTTAGTATGTTGATTATCCAAATTTATGCTCCACCCACTGATGCAAAGAAGGGGAGGTTGTTGGGTTTCAGGTCAAGTTGAAGATGAAAATAATGGAATATTCAAACAGAAAGTGCTACTTGTGAATGGAGAATGGAAGACCAAAGTTGAAAACATTAAGGAAGAAAAAGGTGTGGATGGTCTAGAAAACAGAAATGAATCAGGGGACACTTCAAATGGCCAACATACCAACTCCAGATCTCAAAAAGGACATTTCATAGAAGAACAGCCTGATTTTGAAGTGAGGAAAACAGAGTTGCTCTTTCTACATCCTTACCCAAAGGATGGATATTTTCCAGGATGTTCTATCTTCCACCTTTCAGATGTCTCCCTGCTGCCTTCATTGATATTATAATCACCAATGCTGCTCTGGTTGACATCCACTATTTTTCCACCATACTTTTGTATTACTGATATGGAGGAATCTAAAATATTTTTGGAAAGCCTTCAAATTTTCTGTGGCTCTTGACATTGTGCCCATGGTACTCAAAGACCTGTAGGCATTTGGGGAAATTTAAAATGGCAGCTTCACCCAGCTAACCATCCTTGCTTGAATCACTGGATTGTGGCAGGGGGGTAGGTAAGAGGCCAGAAGAGGTATAGATGGAGGCTGCCATGTTGTTCAAGTTCAATTACATACTGATCCAGAAGGACAATTAGTATATCTTCTATAAAGAAAGCACAGAATTACAGGAATGGGACAACTCGCTGCAGCCAACTCGCCATGGCCAACTCGACACACACAATTCACCATGGTCAATGCACTATAGTCAACTCACCGCAGGACAATTTGCCATGGCCAACTCACCGTTAGGACAACTTGCTGGAAGACAATTCAACAATTCAATTTAATTATTTAAAATATTTTTAAAAATATTTTAATATGATCATTCACATTTCATTTTGTTACACCTTTGGCATCCTTTCTTTAATCATTGTATTTGTAAATTTCATCTATATTAGTGTAACACTTGTCCTGCAACGAGTTGTCCCCCAGCAAGTTGGTGGTGATGAGTTGACTGTGGCAAGCTGAATGTAGCAAGTTGGTTGCAGTGAGTTGTAGTAGACCCACAGAAAGCAGTTTGGCTTGCTTGACATCTATTTGACTTGCAAGGTTGGCACATTGTGATGTGTATTTTTAGACAAAGCCCCTGTGATCCAGATCATCTAATTGACAAATGAAGTTTCTGTTTAGGCTATTGATCAGAGATGTAGGTGGTAAGTGGTGGTGAAGGCAGCACTGATAACAATTTTACAGGGATTACTATAGATAAAAACAACCATTTATCTGTTATCTTCAAAGGATTAGTCTGTGTTGCATTTAAAAGAAAAGCAACTATTTGCCAATGGATATTCAGCATTTCCATTACAGTATTCAGGATGGAATACTTGTTAGAGAAGCAAAAAGTGCTAAAACATGGTCTCCTGCTTTCTTGTCTGATTCCTTAGCCAATGAGCCAAGGTGGCCCAGTGGTTAGAATGCAGTATTGCAGGCTAATTCAACTCACTGCCAGGAGTTCGATCCTCACCGGCTCAAGATTGATTCAGCCTTCCATCCTTCCAAGGTCAGTAAAATGAGGACCCAGATTTTTAGGGTCTGACTCTGTAAACCACTTAGAGAGGGCTGTAAAAGCATTGTGAAGTGGCATATAACTCTAAGTGCTAGTGCTAAGTGCTATACCAGTGGTGACGAACCTATGGCACGGGTGCCAGAGGCGGCACGCAGAGCCCTCTCTGTGGGCACGCGCGCCATCGCCTCAGTCCTAGGCCTTCTGCTGGGTTTTATAAAATCTTTTCATTTTAGGCCCCTGCCGCCATGTCCCCCCAAAAAAAGGTTCAGTCAATTTCAACTTCTCACGGGAAAAAAAAGATTTCGCAAAGTTGGAATTGATCCATTGAATTTTTTAGTCCCACCCAGTCTGCCGTTACCACCGCAGCCATGCCCACCCAATGGGCCACACCCACCCAATGGGCCACACCCACCCAGCACCCGACGATGCATAAGTGGGTTTTGGGTTGCAGTTTGGGCACTCAGTCTCTAAAAGGTTTGCCATCACTGTGCTATACCAAACTAGCTATCTTGGGAATATTGCTATACGCAATTTAGAAACATGTGCCTGAAATAGCTGAAAATCAGGTGAAATCAAAGAATATCTCAAATCTTTAACTTTCCGTCGTTTATTAATTGATTAAATGTCTTAAGATATAATATTTCTGCCTGAGAATCAAGGAAAGAAATTGTGAAGCCATAAACAGTTTATTTATTTATTATATTTTTATCCCACATTTATTACTTTATTACAGTTACTAAAATCCCAAGATTATGAATATGTGAGCCCCAAGATATACCTGTAGATCATTCCAAGTAATCAATTCCAGATTTAAACTAAAGCTATTTTTATAAAGATTGACTAGAGCTACATAATATTGCAAATCTGATTATGCTATGTCTCCTCCCCCATATACTAATGTGGATTAAGGAGGTGTTGGTCTGAGTCGTTCTTGCTCTTCACTTTGGGCTTAAGCAATGTTTCACTCCTTGTTCCTTTGATAATAGATCTCCCCTTTCTCAATCTTTACTCTCTGCATGGACCTAAAGGTTAGCATAGAGACAGGGTACTCAATTCCTCTTGTAATTATTAAGCATTATTACATTGAGGATATCTTTTATCTGTTTATATAACCAATTCTGCCCTGGCTTTCTGTGAAAAACCAATGAGTTGAAATTGTTTGTCTATCAGGAATGCTCTGATTGGATCAAAACCTAGAGTATAATAGTGTGAATAAATTTATGTATGTATGTTAGTTTTTCACTTTCCTTTCTATTGTCAGATACTCCTTTGTATTCAGATCAGGCCTCAGAATGATAATATAGCATTTGGGGAAAAAGATGCATCCCAGCAGGCCAGCACTGGAGGCCAAGATGGAGAAGACTTGAACAGCCACCATGGATTTTCCTTTGGTACTCAAGTAAGTAGGCATAAAGGATATCCAGACACTGCAGAAGACCAACAGGCTGAAGGTAATCAGCTTAGCTTCGTTGAAGGCTCCAGGTAGATTCCTAGCCAGGAAAGCCACCATGAAGCAGATGACAGCCAAGAAGCCCATGTAGCCAAGGGCAAGGTAGAACATGGCAACAGAGCCTTCATTGCATTGAAGGATGATCTCTTCAGACTGGGAATGCATGTCAGTGTCAGGGAATGGAGAACAGACTCCCAACCAGATGGAACAGATGACAACCTGGACACTAGAACATGAAAGGATGATAGAGTTGCTCAAGCTCTTCCCCAGCCACTCCCTCACCCTATTCCCTGGCTTTGTGGCCAAGAAAGCCAGCACCACCATGATCGTTTTGGCCAAGATAGAAGATACAGCAATGGAGAAGATAATGCTGAAGGCTGTTTGTCGAAGAAGACAGGTTGCTCCAGTTGGTTGGCCAATGAAGAGGAAGGAGGTCAAAAAGGAAATCAGCAAGGAAATGAGCAAGATGTAGGAAAGGTCACGATTGTTGGCTTTCACAATTGGAGTTTCTTGGAATCTAATGAATATTCCCAAGACTAAACCTGTGGCTAAGACCAAGAACAAGGCAATGGAAACCAGAATGACCCCCAAATAATCTTTGTAGGACAGGAAAATTATCTTTTTAGGAATACACTGGTCTCGGTATTGGTTTGGATGATATTCTTCAGGACATCTGATGCACTTTTCCACATCTGCAAAGAACAAGGGGAAGAAGAGAAACACAGGTGTAATTTATGGGTGTCACTGCTTGCTTTGCAACCTCCCATTGTGTTTTATGAGTATGTGAAAGTATGAGTATGTGCAGGGCTTTTTTTGGTCATAGAACGCCCAGAACGGAGTTCCGGCACCTTTTTTGGATGGAACCTTGTAGGGTAGGCAAGGCGGGTTGTATGACGTGTGTGAGTTCCGGCACTTTTTTTTTTTTTTTTTTTTTTTTTACAAAAAAAGCACTGAGTATGTGAAACACCCCAAACCAGAAAAGCAAATGCTTTAAGCTATATATACCACGTTAAGCTAAATATACCAGACATAATGGCTCAGCAGTTAAAGACACTGAGCTTGTCAACTGGATAGCTCACAGCCTGTGTTCAAGATCCAAGCAACATGTGATGGGGTGAGCTCCTGTTACTTGCCCCAGCTCCTGCAAACCTAGCAGTTCGAAAGCATGCAAATGCAAGTAAATAAAGAGGTACCACTTTTGTGGGAAGGTAACAATGTTCTATGTGGCTTGGCATATAGCCACACTGGCCACATGACCATGGAAGTGTCTTTGGACAATGCTGGCTTCTTCAGTTAATAATAATAATAATAATAATAATAATAATAATAATAATAATAATAATAATAATAACAACAACAACAACAACAACAACAATAATAATAATAATAATAATAATAATAATAATAATAATAATAATAATAATAATAATAATGATAAAGTTGGAAGGGACCTTGGAGGTCATCTAGTCCAACCTCCTGCTCAGGCAGGAAACCCTATACCATTTTGGACATTTTCTTCTTAAAAACTTCCAGTGTTGGAGCATTCACCGCTTCTGGAGGCAGGTTGTTCCACTGGTTAATTGTTCTAACTGTCAGGAAGTTTCTCCTTAGTTCTAGGTTGCTTCTCTCCTTGATTAGTTTCCACTCGTTGCTTCTTGTCCTGCCTTCAGGCGCTTTGGAGAATAGCTTGACTCCCTCATCTTTGTGGCAGCCCTTGAGATATTGGAACACTGCTATCATGTCCCCCCTCGTCCTTCTCTTTGTTAAACTAGACATATCCGCCTCCTAGGGGAAAACTTTACCCACACCAGGTTTCTTTAAGTGGCTGTACATGCACACGCATATGGATGAGTGGGATATTTCCTGAAAAATGTGGTAGGTCTAGGAATGAAGGAAGTCATTGGAAGAAGACATTTCTACCAGTCTTCACCTGTAGCAGTCTCAACTGGAAGCCAACAGCCAAAGTTGCTACAATACATCTGCCACTGATCAAAGTTGAAGAAATATGTTGCTTCTGAGATCTCTCCACTTCTGATTTTCTTTCCCTGATAAACTTGGGGTGTGTGGGAGAGAGATTACACTACATTTTACAAATCTTTTTGTTAACATGTTTACTGGGTTTTTTTCTTCTCATTTTACATTTTTAATATTTCTGTAGGTTTTCTTTTTCAGACTGAGGCCATTAATGGGATCTATTAGGGAAGAAAGTTTATACCCAGGTTTGCATTTCTATTTCACTTCCAACATTTGTATTAATCCACAACTTTTATACACAGATTTTCTCTATTAATATATATTTGCATAATACAGAGATAATAATAATAATGATGATGATAAAGTTGGAAGGCACCTTGGAGGTCATCTAGTCCAACCCCCTGCTCAGGCAGGAAACCCTATACCATTTCGGACAAATGGCTGTCCAGTTTCTTCTTAAAAACTTCCAGTGTTGGCGCATTCACCGCTTCTGGAGGCAGGTTGTTCCACTGGTTAATTGTTCTAATTGTCAGGAAGTTTCTCCTTAGTTCTACGTAGGTTGTTTCTCTCTTTGGTTAGTTTCCACCCGTTGCTCCTTGTCCTGCCTTCAGGCGCTTTGGAAAATAGCTTGACTCCCTCTTCTTTGTGGCAGCCCCTGAGATATTGGAACACTGCTATCATGTCCCCCTTCATCCTTCTCTTCGTTAAACTAGACATATCCAATTCCAGCAACCGTTCTTTATATGTTTTAGCCTCCAGTCCCCTAATCATCTTTGTTACTCTTCTCTGTACTCTTTCTAGAGTCTCAACATCTTTTTTACATCGTAGTGACCAAAACTGGATGCAGTATTCCAAGTGTGGCCTTACCAAGGCATTGTAAAGTGGTATTAATACTTCGTGTGATCTTGATTCTATGCCTCTGTTAATGCAGCGTAGCACTGTGTTGGCTTTTTTGGCAGCTGCAGCACACTGCTGGCTCATATTTAAATGATTTCCCACTAGGACTCCGAGATCCCTCTCACATTTACTACTATTGAGCAAGGTACCCCCTATACTATACCTGTACATTTGGTTTTTCTTGCCTAAATGTAGAACCTTACTTTTTTCACCATTGAATTTCATTTTGTTAGATAGCGCCCAGTATTCAAGTCTGTCCAGATCCTCCTGTATCCTAAGCCTGTCTTCTGGGGTATTGGCTATTCCTGCCAGCTTGGTGTCATCTGCAAATTTGATGAGTTCCCCATCTATCCCCTCATCCTTCCTCAGAGAAACACGAACTGTAAACTGTAACATTTTGTTCATCTCTCAGATTCAAAAGTACAAACTACTTTTCACTGATCTAAATCCAGCCCTGCTTGAATTCAAAGAGGGTGCAAGAAATGAGCAATCAGGATTGTTCAAATGAGTACATGGTTATTCCATGCTATCTCTATACAAGTATTTGAACTACTAACGAAGACAAATTGATGATAAATAAGAGTCAATGGAATTGAAGGAGGGCTGAAGGAAAGGAAAGGAAAGGAAAGGAAAGGAATGGAAAGGAAAGGAAAGGAAAGGAAAGGAAAGGAAAGGAAAGGAAAGGAAAGGAAAGGAATTTCTCCATTTCTCTGGAGATACCAAGAAAAACTGGCAGAGGTTCATCAGTATACAAGATGAAGAACAAGAAATGCTATCTTCCTTTTAATGCTAAACTCTCATTGATCCCTATCTTTTAATATCCTGCTTACAATTAAAACTGTCAGAGTATAGTTTTCCCAAACATCTGCCCCTTTCCTCTTGTGTCACCCACCTTCTATGATGGAGATGGTTCCTTCTGCACAAGGATGGCAGTCATAGCAACAGATGGGCTTCCCTTCCTGAGCCACCTTCATGAATCCAGGATGGCAGCTTTCCACACACCTGGAAGGAGGCAGAGGCTGAAGGTAGACAGGAGAAATATCAAGAAAATAAACTCATTTTCAGAAACATAGCAAAGAAAGGAAAGGGCTGGTGATATCCAGTTCAAGAGTTAGCTCTGACTAGTTATAAGTCAATAAGCAATGTGATGTTCATCAAACAAACAAATTGAACTCTGAGGAGTCCTTGGTACTCTCTGAGCTGTGTTATTTCATCTTGGCTACTTTTCCCTTTTGATGTTTTATACACACCACAAATTTTAGACATTTATTTAAAATTTAGATATGAATCTTATTGGCAAAACATTTGACAGACTCTGCATTTTTCTTGGGCTCCTCAATAGCCGATCAAGAAGACATTCACACTTTTACATTCATGTAAAAGCATGATATTCAAAGCAAATGCCATGCACCCAAAAAGTGTGACCCTGTTTTTGCCACCTTGAGGAGAATAATATGCTGTATATATTATTAGTACCACCTTTTTCAGAACCTCCAGCTGTGTGATACTTTTCTGGTCAATGGTAAATTTCAACTCCTGGAATTTTTGAGAGACTTCACTTTCTTGACTGATTAATATAATAATAATAATAATAATAATAATAATAATAATAATAATAATAATAATAATAATAATAATAATAATAATAATAATAATAATAATAATAATAATAATAATAATAATAATAATAATAATAATGATAAAGTTGGAAGGGACCTTGGACGTCATGTAGTCCAACCCCCTGCTCAGGCAGGAACCCTACACCATTTCGGACAAATGGCTGTTCAGTCTCTTCTTAAAAACTTCCAGTGTTGGAGCATTCATCGCTTCTGGAGGCAGGTTGTTCCACTGGTTAATTGTTCTAACTGTCAGGAAGTTTCTCCTTAGTTCTAAGTTGCTTCTCTCCTTGATCAGTTTCCATCCGTTGCTTCTTGTCCTGCCTTCAGGCGCCTTGGAGAATAGCTTGACTCCCTCTTCTTTGTGGCAGCCCCTGAGATATTGGAACACTGCTATCATGTCCCCCCTCGCCTTCTCTTCATTAAACTAGACATACCCAATTCCAGCAACCGTTCCTTGTACGTTTTAGCCTCCAGTCCTCTAATCATCTTTGTTGCTCTTCTCTGTACTCTTTCTAGAGTCTCAACATCTTTTTTACATCGTGGTGACCAAAACTGGATGCAGTATTCCAAGTGTGGCCTTACCAAGGCATTTGTTGGGGGAAACATCCCACTTCACAAAGTTCAGGTCAGTTGAAGATCCCTCTTCTCATCCAAGTACATCCCACCTATGGAATCAAACTGCACATTTCTTCTCTAAGTATTCCTTCTCTGTTTCTCTTCCCTTCTTATATTTCATACACACTACAAGTTTAGGCTTTCATTTTAAATAGAGATATGAAATTTATCAGGAAAATGTTGGATGGATTCTTTGCTTTGGCTAAATAAACCATGGTTATTTGCATGACTGGCTCAGTCTACCTCCCTTTCTGTAAACACAGTGAATCATTTATTTTAAAAACTGGAGACTATATTTTTCGTGGGCACCTGAATCACTGAGAAGGATGGTCATAATCTTGAGATCATAAAAAGTCAAAAACATTGAAAGCAAACGCACAACACACCACACCAGAAAAGTGGGATCCTGTTGTTGCACCTGAAGTGTGATAAAATAAATTTTAGACCCACCTTATTCAGCATTTCCATCTGTGTGATACTCTTCTGGTCTACTGTAAATTCAAAATATTGGGATACCCGTTTTACTAGACTCCCAAATTTCATTTTCTTAACAGACTTGTTGGGGGAAATATCCCAGTTCACAATATCCAAGTCAGCTGTCAGATCTCCTTTCTCATCCAAATATACTCCATCTATGGAATTATTATGAAACTGAGAGCTTTGATGGAAATAGTGAAGCTGGAAAGGAAAGGAAAAGAAGAATTTAGAAATGTCATCAGATATTCTTTGAAAAGACTCTTTGGTTTAATTGTGGAAGGGATCTGAATATTTTTATCTCTCTGTTCAAGAATGAGATTCTGTTTTCGGTTTCCAACTTGGTTAGGAGACTATCAACAAGAATAGGAATAATAAGAGCTGTAGATCAGAACAATGATTGTAAAGGACAGAAATTTGAACAACTGGTCATGTATCTGTCCCCCGCCCCCACTCCCCATTTTAACTCAGTTTTGTTAATATAAAACTCCTCTAAAGGCAAACAACAATTGTTTTTATCTATATTTAATTAACCAAATAAATATTAAGCTAATAAAACAAATTTAAGATGTTCCTTTAATTTGCAAGTTGTTGTGTGACTTTTCTCCTAAGAGGCTGGCTCCTACTTAGTACAGTCTTAAGACTCTGGTCAAGTTGACAAGTCATAAATACTTATAGTAGGGAATAGGTATACTAGAGAACAGGTCCTAATGTCAGATTAACCCCCTTATACATTAGAATGATTGTTTCAGATATGCTTTGTGTGTGTTTGTTGTGTGTGAATGCTTCTTTTTGAAAATTTTCTTTTTGTCTATACTGGAGGAGTCAGAACATCTCTCTCTCTCTCTCTCTCTCTCTCTCTCTCTCTCCTAAAAAAAAGTAAACATAGGAATAATAAAAGTTGTATAGCAAAATAATGAATGAAAAAGACAATCAATCAATCAGAATAGAGCTGGAAGGGACCTTGGAGGTCTTTTAGTCCAACCCCTGGCTCAAGCAGGAGACCCTATCCCATTTCAGATAGGTGGCTGTCCAGTTTTTTCCTAAAAGCCTCCAGTGATGGAGCACCCACAACTTCTGAAGGCAAGCTGTTTCACTGGTAAATTGTCCTCACTGTTAAGAAGTTTCTCCTTAGTTCCAGGTTGCTTCTCTCCTTGCTTCTCTACCTTGCATCTTGTCTTGCCTTCTGGTGCTTTGGAAAATAAGTTGATCCCCTCTTCTTTGTGGCAGCCCCTTAAATACTGGAATACTGCTATCATGTCCCCCCTAGTCCTTCTTTTCTCTAGACTGGCCATACCCAATTCCTACAACTGTTCTTCATATGTTTTAGTCTCCCGGCCCTTAACCATCTTCATTGCTCTTCTTTGCACTTTTCCCCAAGTCTCAGAATCTTTTTTGTGATGTAGTGATCAAAACTGGGTGCAGTATTCCAGGTGTAGTTTTGCTAAGGCTTTATAAAGAGGTACTAATACATCATGCGATTTGAAGTATTTCCCAAAATTTTGAACAGCTGGGCATGTTCACATTCTCACCACTTTATCATAGTAATGATAATTTATAACTTCTCTAAAGGCAAAGAATCAATTTTTTATCAGTGGTTTATTAACCTAAAAATAATTAACTTTAAAAAAGATTCTCTGATGAATGAAGGCGAATATACACGTCCCAGGATAATGTGGCAGGATCCAATCTGGGTCACTCACCAGGACCAGAGATTTTTGTCTTCTGAGCTTGTAGATTTGTGCTGGAGCCCATTTTCAGGGAACTTTTTTCTAGCTAAAGAAAGTTCCTTGAAGATGGGCTCCAGCATGAATCCAAAAGCCTGGAAGACAAAAACCTCTGGTCCCGGTGACCGACCCAGATTGGACCCTGCAAAGATTCTCTGGGACACAGCAGTAGTCCTTCTTGCAGAGGGAAAGGTTCAAGGAGAAAGACATGGATACAGTATAATATCTTGGCCTAGAAAACAATTATAAAACACATAAATGAATGAGATAGAAAGATGGCTGAACAACCAAGATATCAAAGTGTTCACTCCAAAAAAATAATAAAAAAATGAAAATAGTACAAAAATAAAAAGAATCAGAGGAAATGGAAAATGAAGGAAATGGAAGTACGGAATTAGGTTGGGATTGAATAACAGGATACTCTAACCCAGGGCTTTTCAACCAGTGATACGGGTACCACCTGTGGTACATTGGCACCTGGCACGTGGTACGCGACCATCCAAGAAAAGTGGTAGCGGGGGAGGGGAATGAGCTGAACCGGCAACTGATTCATATTTATGACGGTCAGAGTGTCCCAGGGTCATGTGAAGGAACCAAAACCTGCTGCAACCACCCAGCAGAGTGGGGGAATAAAAACCAAACACCCCCCACCCCACCCTCGCTGCCAATCCTCAACAGAAATGCTCACAACAATGAAAACCTCGGACAAGAGGAAGAGCACAGCCGGGCGGGCAGGCAGGTGTCTTGCTCGGCTGTGGCTTGGGGGGCACTTTTTCCAGTGCCATTGTAACTTCGAACAGTCACTAAGCGAACTATTTTAAGTCGAGGACTACCTGTACTTTATCAATTTTTTCCTTTTTGGGGGGGGTCATCAAGTTTTTGACACCTTGCTAGGCGACTGGTGGTACTCAGATGTTGCCATATCCTAAAAGTGGTACAATGGGTGAAAAGGTTGAAAAGCCCTTCTCTAACCTTTCAGAATAACTAACCAAGACATCCACTTACAACACGGAGTTCCATCTGCAGGGGAAACATGACTGATCAAAAATTACCTGCAAAACCTTCAGTCTCTGAGGTTCCATCTTCATGCCCCTATTTCGTCCTGATCTCTTGAATGTGGATACATAAGCTGAATTTAAGGCCCTTCCCACAGCCCAGATGGTGTTGTAAATGAGGTAGCTGTCCAGGGTCAGGATCCGATCAATGTCCTCTTTCCTCAGAGCCTCCAGATCTTCTTTTTGTCTGCACCGTCTCCAGACTTTTACTGAAAAGGCATCCTTAGCGGATGAACATGTAAAGGTTTTTTTCCAAAAATTAAATATAGATTTGAGAAAGAGATTAAAAGCATCATAGTTTGCCCATTTCCTTCTCTGTATCAAAAAGGAAAAAATGGCACCAAAGTATTTAAAGGAAAGGTTAGCAAACATTAAGTCAACAGTGAGATCCCAATGAGCTGCAGTGATCCAGACCTTTTCTACAGATTGTTGTTGAACACCCTGAAGTACTTGTTCTACAATCAGCATTCCTATCCGGAATGAACTAGTTTCTGAACCATAAACAAAGACATTGACTTGTCTCCAATTGTAATATTGTTTAAATATTAAACCTATCTGATGCACATTTAGTGGAAAGCTTTGATATATAACTGCACAAATGCCATTTGTTAACATTAAAGAAGACATTGCCCTCATGAACCTCTCCCCCTGGTCAGTTTCTGGAGCAAGGAGTCCAACCAATGTCCACTTGAAATGGAGGAGAAGCTGGATCATTCCTGGGTACTGGACTCCTTCAACAGGGAGCATCGGGTAGAAGAAAGGAAAATGAGTTTTATCTCTCAGAATCTGGGAAGAAAAAGTGTAACTGATCTGAAAGGAATGAAAGATGGTGGTATTTTAAATTAAACAAGCAAAATTCAGTTCTTATCACTTCCACAATAACTCTCTTCTTCATTTGCAGCAGAAAGTTGCATGAATGAAAACTGTGTCTCTGAGAAAGACACACCTGAGGGATTTTGTAGGTGCCCAAAATGGTGGACATCTGGATGGAGATGCCAGTCTCGGCCCCTTCCAGAACAGCCACTGTGTTTCTCTGCCTTCCATACCTGTAGTTGGGCACATTGGCCTCCCCATCTGAAAGGAGATCCAGCAAAGGATCTGAAGTCATTTCTACCTTGAAGAAATTTTCATAGATATTATAACCCAGGGTGATGTTGGATAAGAGAAGGTCATTCTGGTTGATGTCCTTGATAGCAAAAAGGAAGGGCAAACATTTCCAAAGAAATTTGGATGATTTGCTGCAGGTATGAACATATCAATCAAAATAGCATTTAGTTTTTCTTCCACGAGAATATTTTTGGTTAACTCAATCACAATTATTTTTCCAAATAGTTTGCAATATTCCAAAACACTACCATAGAAAAAGAATAAGAACAATAGAGAATTTTGAATCATAATATACTTCAGTGTCATTCTCCCACCTGGTAATACTAACACCACTTCAATTTCATGTGTGGGTCTTCAAACTTTTAATCCCATATTTGATGGTTTGTTTCCTCTCTCTTATTATGGCTAAAAGAAACTATTTACTATTACTTCTTTTAAATTTTAGATACTTTTGGAGTTGGACCTAGAAGTCAGAATGACTAAAAATGACTGCCACCCAGAAGATAAAACACTTTGTTATTCTCTTTTAACTATGAGGCAGTATGAAGGTTCAGCCCTGTTGGATGGACCTTTGTTGTGTTTTCTGTTGGGCTGTTTTTTATTCTTTACCTGTTTCTATTTTTTTAATTTGTAATTGAGAAACACAGTGTTATAAAACCAATGAATTGTGGAAATAAATAAATCAACCAAACGAGCATTCTACCAATATAATAAATATATATATATATTAAAAAAGTTCATTCACATGAACTTGTGAATAAAAGTCAGAGAAAATTTCAATGAATGCCTATGCTCTCAACTGGGCCTATTTCATCCCAGCAGTAAATTTTGGTGTGGAAAAAAATGGTAGTATTATCTCATCTCCAATGCAGAGTGAAAATACAGCATCCCTTTTTGCTTGGACCAGGACTTCAGGATTCCATCCAGAGTTCAGTTCATCTCAGGAGTGAGGTGAAAGAAAGAGGTCATTCTGTTCCTCCCTGTCCACAATCTAACTCTGCTCATAGAATGGGAAGGGAAGTGGATGGGGGAAAATATTTTGATTCAGTTTTTATATTTTAGAGCTCAAAATGAACTTTGTCACCTACAGGTGGGTGACAAGGGGGCCACAAGACAGAATCAGGTAGTAAGTTGGCAAAAGGGGCAGATCAAGAGGAGACCACCTTGCATTCTCAGAGGGCTACTATAGTAAACATTCATTGAAAATGCAGTGGCTCTAATAAAGTGCAGGAGGATTGACTTACGTGAAGAATTTTGTTGAAGGACTTCTGCTGAAGTTTAATGATTGAAACCTAGCATCTTTTGCAGAGACTATCCCACTAATGAAATAATCTCCTGACTTGTAATGATGCTCTGGGTCCACTTCACTCTGCTCCAGAGACAGAAGGCATTTGGCTTTGCATATCCCACAAGGTTCTGGTGGCCACACAAGCAGCACAAGTAGAAGCATCAGCAACATGATTTCAGTTGCTGATTGAGCTTTCTCTGTGGCACCTGCATTGTAACAAAGAATGAGAAGAAGATATGGGTAGAACCCCAAATTTCTTCCAGGACACAATCTTCAGATCCAGTCTGAATCCAGCCAAGGCATAGAAACACTATCTCTGCTTGTCCTGAAACCACCCCCAATTTTTCTTTCTATCTCCAGAGCCATCGATACACCCAGAATTTTCACCCAGCTGTGCTTTTGAGTCTATATTAAAGCATTTTCTGACATGCTTCTATAACATCTTCAGAAAGGTTGCAGAAAGTTGTCTAGGAACCTAACATAAAGTCAGCAAATAAATCGGTATGATTTAGATAATTGGAAGGAAGAAAAATAAAACATCAACTCCCTGAATCCCTTAACATGTCTTCAGGCTGGTGCCCAAAGGGAGAATTCACAGATGTGGCCCCAAGCTTTGAAGGTAGGCCAGTGATAGAAACTGGAGAACTTGGTACATTTTTTTCCCCAATAAAACACTTATAGAGAACCTGGGATCAAACCAAGAACAAGAGGGATCTGGCTTTTAGCATGCCTATGAAAAGTCTCATATTAATATGGATTTAGTTAGGTTTTTTTTCTAGCAGAACTTGCTCATAGGTCTGTAGGCAGACCGGTAGCAGAACCAGTAGCTACTTTTTGTTGCCTAGGCCCAGAATGGACTTCTGGAAGCAGCATCCACACAGAGAACCGGTTGTTCACATATTTGAATCCCACCACTGTCTATAGGCAGCTGTTCATCTCATTCAAGAGAGGAAAATAGTCCCTATTTAAAAACAGACAAATGCCAGGCCACCAGCGAATAGAATAGAATAGAATAGAATAGAATAGAATAGAATAGAATAGAATAGAATAGAATAGAATAGAATAGAATAGAATAGAATAACAGACTTGGAAGACATTTTGGAGTCTTTTAGTTCAACCCACAGCTCAGGCAGGAAACCCTATACTGTTAGATCGCGCAGGCAGTAAGACACGAGTCGAGTGACAGTCAGCTCTCGGTTTATTGGCAAGGCATAAAGTAAATCCGGACTGGCATCTGGGCCAGGGGAGCCCTCTTTTATGGGATTCCCCTGGCTTGTAATCACACAATTCCATTGGCTGGTAACACCCCGTTGCTAGTTAGCCAACCAGCAACGGGCATGAAACTGTATGCAGATGGAGAAGGGCAATCACCCTTAATGGGTGATCAATGGAGAAGGGCAATCACCCTTAATGGGTGATCAGGATGCGCATAGGGGATTAAGGGGGGGGAATACAAAAGAACACAACACCCCTCCCCTCAAAGTTCTTGCTATCGTCCTTGAT